ATGCTATGTAGCATTGATTGAGGCATGTATGTGTATGGCCAGATTAGGATTTAACATTGGGTTTTATTGCTGTCCTTGTCCTTGTTGGGGGAAATTTGCTCTCTTCCTGACCTGGTAAGACCATGTGTGTCAAGGTGTGACATGATGTCATTGGGACAGGAAGTGAGAGCTTATCTCCCCAACAGAAACATAGACAGCAATAAAAATAGAAGTTTTATTAGAGGTTTCAAGCTGGACTCTCATGTTTAGTCATGAATATCCTGAAAGAGTTGACAAAATCCTATGCACGACACGCTGTAATATTTAAACAGTAAAACATGAGAATGCTCATAAGTCTTGTGCATCTGATTTATTGGAGTTTTCAAGTATAGTAAAATATAATACTGGTCAAGCTTCCAATTTCCAATGGAATAGTCATATTTCAGACTCTGGAGTTTTGACATATTATTTGAGATTGACATGATTTAGTTGATGATGGTCGTGCTTGAAGTCAGCTGTTAATCTTAGTTTCTTCATACTACAAACTTTAATAAAAGACTGTCCACTGCTTTCTGAAGTTTTATATATGACTTGTTAAAGCCCAACTCCAGAGAATATTTTTTTGGCAAGGAGTTAAAATTTCTATGACAGGAAACTGGTGAAAGAAAGAAAATCTCCTTTAGTGGCCACCATTTAAAATATGGCGTAAAAATCCCAACAACGTGAAAACTGATAGCATTTTAATCATGTGAAAATGTAGAAGGAAGAGCACCAAATGAGCAGGTGGTCCAACTGGAAAAATCTGTTTATTAATAGAGGTTTAATTTTAAAAAAAGGCAGAAATGTTTTAAGGGTTAAAAAGGTTTCATCAAGGCTGTGTTATAGAGAGAAAAGGACTACACTGGCTGCCTCATTGGTGCATGTTTTCCAATCTGGTCCACCAATGGGTTATTTTTATCTGGAGTCCTAGTCCATATAAAATATCCCCAGTTTTGGCTGAACCCTAAGAGATCTGTACCGAGTAGGTGGAGTAATGCCTTATGTGCAGTAGTTTTATATTTTCTGTTACACATGTAAATTGGTCAATACTGGACTTCTGCAAATATGTTGGCGATATACTGTGAGGGCATAAGTACTGACTGACACAGAATGTGCTGTCTTTACTATATGTATATTATTCAGCTTTGTGAAAGAAGTTAATTAAAATAGGTAGGGCTTTTTTTCCCCTATTTATACTTACCTAGGTGAATGCAGCATCGGTTCGATGCTGCGTATGTGCCCCACTGGGTCCAAGGGTGAGAACCCAGCAATCACATGATCACTGGGTTCTCAAAGCCATTCTGAGCAGAGAGTGGGACTGTCAGTCACCGCTCTCTGCTCTGCGGAGCATCTGGCTTGGGCTCTCAGCGCTTCATTGAGAGGGTGAGCCAAGTGCCACTTCAGACTATGGGATAGATCCCAACTTTGAAGTCAGGAACTTTCCCCAGCATGGACCGGCTGAGTGACGTCAGCCGACAGTGGACTTCAGTCTGATGTCCACTGAAAACAGGTTACAGGAGTGCAGAACAAATGTCAGTCCTGTGGCCCACAGGAAAAGTACAGCCAAAAAAACTTTGGCTGTACTTCTCTAAAGTCGTAAGAACGAAAAATAAAATCATCTATTGAAAGCATAATGTTTGTAACCCCTAAAGTGCTTTGTCCTGTTTAACTTTAACCTTCCATTGATTAATAAATGGACTTCATTGTTTGTACCCTACACTGGTTTGACACTCTTCCTTTTTACGACTTCACCCCATCTGCTGGCTCCTCTGGGTCTGAAAGCAGCCTTAATAACAGCCATTGCTGTTCCAGATGCTGATTTCGCAGTCCACATTAACTTCTACAATGTCTTTGAGATCTAGCGGCACCACTTAAAGTGACATTAAAGACACATTTTTTTATACATAGAAATGATATGCATATAATAGGACTTGAATGCTCTTCCAATTCTTTGTAAAAATGGATCTTCTGTTCTTACTCGATTAATTGGCCAACTTCAGGTATGCGGGTGCCCCCTACACCTCGTGGGGTCTTGCAGGAGTTTTCAGTTTGCATATGCTCCCATTTAGAACTACAACCTTAGGTGCAGCTTTTCCCAGCACTGCACACACAGGCAGAGCAAGGACATAGAGCCAAAACCATACCTCTACTCATCCTCTACAGTGGTGATTGACAGTGGCTCCTAAATCAGCGTGGCTATGGCCCCATGTTCCTCTCCCTCTGCCTGTGTGTGGTGCTTGAAATGGCTGCATGTAAGGTTGCAGTTTTAAATGGGAGTGTTCACAAACTGGAGACTCTGGTGAGACTCCATAGGTCCCGACAGGCACAGGGGGCATTCACATACCTGAAGTTGGCCAGCGCAGTCGGTGCACATTTAAAGGACCAAGAACAGAAGACAAATTTTAAAATAGGAAGAGCATGTACAGTAAGTCCTACTATAAGCATCTCATTAAAAATGTCTTCAAAGTTACCTTAAGTCATAACATTTAAACCTGACGGAAGAATTTTCCCTTCACCAATCTATCCAAAACTAGAAAAAAAGTTTTGGCTGGTGTTGGAGTTTAACAAGTCCCTGTGGTATGCAATAATGCAAAACAATTTTACCGTTTTGGTCTATATAAGGTTCATATAATATCCTGGTTCTACTTCATATAGTAACTGTAAGGCCAGCCGGGTGTTGGAGCCATAAAATGGTTAACACAAGATATTTTCAAGGATCTCCAGTCAATAGCCAGCAGCTGATTTTTGATTGATGACCGTAGTCTTAGCCAGGTGAGAAACAATATATGGTTTGAAAATAGCTAAAGTTCATCAGCTGTAAAAAAAATAAAAAATACATATACAGGCCTAGATGTATTGACAAGCCGCCACAACCACCATTCCACCAGCTCCATAATTCAGGTGTGTATGTCCAACCATTCATCAAATTAATCCAAAAATGTATCTGGTCATGTATTAAATGATTGAGGAATAAGGTATCTGCAGTTTCGTTTTGCTGGGTCTCCAAATATTGTACCCGCTTAAAAAGACTTCCCTAAAAATGCAATCTTGGTAAATGGCATGTGCAGAACAGAATAGTACCAAGTCCTTTTTTGTAGAGGGTAGTGACTGAGGGCCTCTATTCTGCTATCATATGCATTTGACTATATAGACTGTGATGTCATGGCACAGAGGACAAAGTGATCTCTATAATATGCTAGCTCAATTTTTCTTTTTATAGCAGCAGTTAGGGCTCGTTCACACTTGACCGTTTTACCAACGCTTGCCAAACGCCCCTATAGCGTTTGGCAAGCGTTGGTCTGGCGTTTGTGGAGCGCTTTTTAACTCTTGGCAAATGCTCCGTAAACGCCGCATACGTGGTTTAGCGGCGGTTGCTAGGCATTTGCCGAGTGTTAAAAACGCCTCACAAACGCCTATAATGAAGTTTAAATGGTGTTACCGCCGCAAACGTCCTGCAAACGTCCTGCAACCGCGCCGCAAATGCCGGCCAGGCATTTGCAGAGCGGCACCATAGACTAGAATAGGAAGCTTCAACGCCTCCTGACTCGACCAGAGGCATTCGTTTTACCCGCGACGCAACGCTAACGCTCCCGTTAGAACAGCACCATGTGCTGCAATGTGCAGAATTGTCCGAGGCGTTTGGGAAGCGGTAAAAACGCTTCCCAAATGCCTCTCTGCCGCCTGCACACAGCTAGTGTGAATGTAGCCTTAAGGTTGATTTTTGGGTAGGATTCTGGGTACACATAGGGTTTAGGAGTTGCATGTGAAGAACATTCCTGGAGTTCAGCTTAATCATTGTGACCGGGTTCACACTGATGTGGTGCAGGAAACGCTGTGAATCTTGTGCGCTTCCCACCACATTGCAATCGCATGGCGTTCATGCAATCTGGTGCGGGTGTCAATGTTAAACTATTAACACCCCGAATTGCCAGAAATCGAGAACACCCATGCAATGCGATACAGGTGCGGGTAAAAAAAGGGTCCTGCACCTTTTTGGTGCGGATGAAATACAATGCGATTGGAGCCAAACAAAATGTGCTAAAATCGCACTGCATAGACATTGCATGTAATTTGCACAGAAATACGGTGTGATTCCTGTGTGAAGTACATGGGTGTCCCGCACAGCATTAATGTGAACCCAGTCTGAATCACTGATCTGCAACAAGCATGCAAACAGCTGTTCTGGCTTTGCTTGCTAAATTCTTGTTCCAGGTCTGTGGCTCAGAAAGAATCCAAACTGGAGACAGCCAGGCAGCTAGCATTTTTATGTTCAATAATTTTTTTTAATTGAAGTTTAAAGTGGTTGCCAAAAATGTAGAGAAAATAGCAAACAAAGGAAAAATTGCTCAAGTCTTATGCCCTGTACACGTGATAAGAAAATCGTATGATAAATTTTGTGGAACCACTGATCGAACATCTTCTCTTCGTTGGTGAGCAGGATGTTTTAACCGATAATGATATTGTGAACGAAAAAATCCAGTTGAACAACAAGGAAAAATGTTGTTGTTTCGCATACAAACGACTGATTTTCTATGCAGTGGTAAGACAGTCATATGAAAAAAATCTATCAAGCGCTATTACACATGAGCGGAAACAGAAGATGACTCGGATGTTTATGTCTGAGGAATCTTCGTAAACACAAACGAAAAATCCAAAAGTTAAAAGTAGATTGGACTAATGAGATAATGAAACCAGAATTCTGCATATTATATTTTATGTATCACTATTTATGTATATAGGTCATGTAATAAACTATATTATACTCATTGCTGGTAATTGTTGTGTATATCGCAGTGGGAGTGGCGACAAGGTCACATGCACACTGCATTACTTCCACTTGTACGGAAGACGTCAACACTACGTATTGCCCAATGAACGATTTTTTTTAGATTGGTTAATGTGGACCACTATTTCGACCAACGAATGAATGCCTCTCGGTTGTCGGATGACCGAACGGTCGATTTTCTAATCATGTATTCCCACCAGGGGTGGACTGACCATTTGGAAACTCGGGCACTGCCCGAGGGCCCGGGGTCAGTAGGGGGCCCCATGAGATGCCCCTGGTACCCTTTTTCATAGGCTTTTTTGAGTTTGGGCAAGGACACAGGGGCCCCATGATCCCCTATTGCCGGGGGCCCCATGAGTTGTAAGTCCGCCCCTGGGTTGGAGATTTCAGATATACTATGGGAGACAGCCAGAGACTAGGGACATGTCCCTTGTGAAAAAGTCGGAAGTGACGAAACGCGTCAGGGTCGTGACGTCAGACGCTAAGCCGGAAGGAGTAGAGCGGCCATTTTTGATGGCCTCAGCATTGAACGGACGTTAGTGAGGATGGACGGTATTTTTAATGTAAGCTGCTAAATAAATTGTATTTACTACTATATATTACTCCACTGAGTCTGCTCCTACTTTATCCTGTGAGGAACGGGGATCCCGATGCCCATCACTTTATGAGGAAGGTATTCCATTGTCCACTTATATAAAGGAAAGCACACTCCCAGTGAAGGCAACTGTATTTGGTATAAAGGAATTCCAGAATGCTTTGAAAGCAGAAAGAGGGTAATTGTATATTATCCTATATGCAGAGTGGTGGCACTTTTTTTGGCACATTTTTCCACTGATCACATTTTGTGTATTTGCGGAATTTCACATACTGCAGTGGTTGTTTCACAGGACCACTAGTGATGTGGTGTGTTAATATTCACTTCACATGTGTGATGTCTAATTTTTAGTTTATGTCACCAGTGTGGTTGCATGTTATCACTTATTATAATTTTTATAAAAGATAATGCACTATATCTAGTATATTTTTTTTGAGGTGCTTTTGGATTGAAGGGAAGATTTGGACATTTTCACAGCTGGAAGATTTGAAAGCAAGGACTATAATTTGTATAATTTTATTTTTATTTTTGTACTTTTTGGATTTTGAATTTTGTATTTGGGACTTTATTATGGACATTTATTAGCAGTATGAGACTGCGGGAGAGGGTGTGTATGTTTGTAGAATATTGAAAAGGTCTAGGTATTTTGTTTTTTGAGTTTGGGCAAGGACACAGGGGCCCCATGATCCCCTATTGCCCGGGGGCCCCATGAGTTGTCAGTCCGCCCCTGATTCCCACCTTAAGATTAGGTTTACACTTGTGGGCTAGTTGCAGGTTTGGGAATCACACCTCTTCCTGCACCCGCAACCACCCACAGCTGAAACACACAGCTCTTGCAAGACATACAGGACTGCCATTCTTTCTGAATGGCACCCCTAAGCATCTCAGCATGCAGCACACTTGAACCGCAGGGCAACCACGTGGTCAAACAGATCACATGGTTTCCCTGCAGCTGTGTTTTTAAAAATGTTCATGCAACTTTTTCCTGTGGGAAATGCGGCACAGCAGCCCATTCAAATAAACAGGCTGCCATGCCTGGGCAACCGTGGTCCTCACAGCCTGCAATAGTGTGAACCGAGTCTTATAGTTGAAGGCATGGTTCTTTCAATGATTTAATATGGTGGATGGAAGAATTGAAACACTGAGTTTGTATAAAACATATACTAAATATCTGGACTATTAGTTTACTGGGATACAAAAGAAGTGGCCAGTTTCTGGTACTGGTTGAAGGCTTAAGTTAAAGTGAGTCAGTTATGGCCATAGAGTTTGTAACAGTGAGGGCTATAGGGGAGAATAACAAGCCTAAAGCTGAACTCTAGCTTTTGGTACACTTTACATAATTCATTTGGGCTGAGCTGGCCCAAACAAACTATGTCCCTCACTAAAATGTGTATGTGCTGTATAAACCGTATGTAGCTCAGGCCACATTCAGCATACTGCACTGAAATCTGGTGCGATCTGAGACATTCCTGTCTCAGCCCCCAGACACAATAGTGTCTGTCTAAGCGGCACTCAGCTACTCATAGAAAAGAATGTATTCTATCAATGAATACAAAGCTTGGCTCGCACAGGAACACAGCACTGTATGTAGGCTCAGCTGCATACAGTCTATACAGTACATCCACATGTTAGTGAAGGACATAGTTTGTTTGGGCCAGCTTGGCCCAAACAAACTATGAAAAGTGTACCAAAGCATGAGTTCAGCTTCAAGGCACAATACCAGTAATCACCCCCTTCTATAGCTTATGAGAGTTCCAAGGTTGCCTGAAAGAATTACATTTAGACAAGTAGTTGTTTTTCAAAGCAAATAGGCATTCAAGTGAACAATTGGGACTCCGCTCTCTAGATCCTCAAACTTAACCTATCCAAAACCGAGCTCCTGGTCTTCCCCCCACCCTGTGCCCCCCCCATCCTCTCCATCACTACTAACAACGCCACCATCTCTCCCACCCCACACACCTAAGTCTTGGGTGTCACCCTGGACTCCCACCTCTCCTTCCTACCCCACATCCAAACTGCTATCTAGATCTTGCAGGCTCCACCTCCGCAACATCTCCAAGATATGCACATTCCTCACCCCAGACACCACCAAACAACTCGTACACTCCCTCATCATCTCACGCCTGGACTATTGCAATTCCCTTCTCACTGGCCTACCCAAACGAACGCTATCCCCACTCCAGTCGATCCTAAACTCAGCGGCCAGACTCATCCACCTCACCAAGCGCTCCACATCTGCCTCCCCCCTCTGCCAATCCCTTCATTGGCTCCTGATTGCCCAACGCATCAAGTTCAAGCTGCTAACTCTGACCTACAAGGCCATTTACAATGCCGCCCCGTACTACATAACTGACCTGATACCCAAATACTACCCTACCCGTGCCCTCCGCTCCTCACAGGACCTCCTGCTCTCTAGCTCCCTGGTCTCCTCCTCCCACGCCCGATTGCAGGAACTCTCCAGGACTTCCCCCATCCTCTGGAACTCCCTACCCCAATCCATCAGACTGTCACCTACCCTCCTCACCTTCAGGCGCACCCTGAAAACCCTCCTCTTCAGGGAAGCCTACCCCAACCTCACCTAACACCCGACCTCACCTAACAACTAACCTCCTCCACTCCTCCCAACACTCCATCCCCCACAGCCATCTCCTCCTGTACCACCTTCCCCTCCCTCCTAGATTGTAAGCTTGAAAGAGCAGGGCCCTCAAACCCCTCGTGTAGTGTATTGTTACTGTCTTGTTTCATGTTATGTCCCCCTTGCTACTGTACAGTGCTGAGCATACCCTTTGGCGCTATATAAATACTGTATAATAATAATAATAATATATCAGACAGATTGGGTATGCCCATATACATATCTCTAATGCTTTGTGAGGTTGTATTTGGCAGAAAGGAGAATATGTACGATAAGCGTTCTAACATTTCTGCAGAGGGGGCTATAGGTATCAGAGTAAATTCTGAGATTAGTTTAAAGACTTGGTTCCAGTATGATCGGAATGTCTGCCAGCACCATAGGATGTGTAGAAGTTGATGCTCCATTCACATCATTTAGATTTTTCCACACCTGAAGAGCAAGTAGAGGTTCTTGCTGGGAAAAACATATTTAGCCATCCCAGGATAGCCTTAATAGTATGCTTTTTATTTTGCTATTATTTTACTCTTGGTTTTCAGCTTCTCAGCCTAGGGAAATTGTTCCTTAATTTCGCCAGCATTCTGATGAAATGCCCAGATGCATTTTGAAGAGCTTATGTGCCACCAATGCAGAAATTTATTCAACGGCTCCCAGCGATCGGTACACCACATGGATGCAGCTAGCATTTTTAGAAGAACCTCAGGTAGCAGCCATACTGCATCTCTCTCTCAGGTTTCCTTTAGTACCTATATTTTGGGATCCATTTTCCCAGCTTTGGTCTTTTGTCAGAGAAGACTTTGATATTGTCTTCTGCCTCGCTGCTTCCAACCTTGCCTCCCACTTACTTCTCTTCCCAATAAATAAACATGCATTACCAACAGGAAACACGAACTCCACTTTGTAAAACCAGCTTAAACGAGTGGCATTATCAGACAAGAACAGGGAAACGAGCGGGCCCGCAGCTCAGCTGCATTTACCTAAGCCTGAAAAATGACCTCTTTTATGAAGCAGGATCTGGAAGACGTTAAGTGCATACCAAGTAGCGGAGAAATGTGAAAGATGACATATCTTTCATTCAGAACGCCCGATCCAAATAGAGTGAAGCTTTTACATCTGCTTCATCACCTGTTTAGGAGCTGCAATGCTCCCCCTGCCACATACCTTTTTTTTTGGCAGTTATGCCATACCTTACCTGAGTAAGATTGATGGTGAGCTGATCCTGGGCAGCCAATTTCAGTCTCTCAAGAAATAATCCGCTACTTTGACAGATGAGAAGAATTTGACGCTCCGTTCACATCATTTAGATTTTTCCACACCTGAAGAGCAAGTAGAGGTTCTTGCTGGGAAAAACATATTTAGCCATCCCAGGATAGCCTTAATAGTATGCTTTTTATTTTGCTATTTTTTTTACTCTTGGTTCTCAGCTTCTCAGCCTAGGGAAATTGTTCAATTTTCAAAATACACAAGGGCTGCTTGATCAGAGCTATGGGAAGGGGAAGATGAAGCTGCCGCTCATTGCTATGCTGCCAGTCAAGTGTTAGCGTTAAAGAACAAGTTTGCTTTTAGTGAAGTTGTCCTTTAAATGTTCCCCCTACTCCTTGAGTGGCAGCCATCTGCTTAAAGCAGACCTGACCCCCCCCCCCCCTTTCCCTAAAACCCACATCAGTATGCATCTGATGCAAAATCACCTAACACTTTAATGTAATTTTTCTTTTTTTTTGCTTTACTTACCTTTTTTTTTCCTTTTACTTCCTTTTCCCTGAAGGTACTGGTGACATAGCCTCAACCACACAGATGCCCCTAGGAAGGCATAGCCATTGCCTTCGAAGAAATCTCGTACCCAATTTGAGAGATCTTGCAATATTGGCATACTCATTTTTCATGTGTGCCATACAAACGTACATTCAAGATTTTTTTGTATCATCTGGATCAACTGTGGGTGTAGGATTATAACTTTTTTTTTTTAATGGTTGAACTGGATGGACTTTTGTCTTTTTTCAGCCAGACTAACTATGTAACTATGTCATACAGTGCACGATCGAGATGAAGTGCATGATTTCATGCACTTCATCTTGAACATGTACAGTATCATGGACATGGCACAACGGGAACGTGTTTCGGGGGTGCCACCTCTTCTTTAGAGTTATGCTATCATAGCTCTTAGGAAGGGAGTGCGCTCCCGAAACGCATATGCTTGACTATGCAGCGGGGTGTTGTTGGAGCACTTACGTCCTGCACCACACGGCATCTTCTGGCTTACATGTTTATACTTGCTGTACCTTTGTGAGTACCCAATTTTACTGGTTTTACAGTATATTTTTCCAATAAATTTTATGGTGATGCACTAGGCTTTTGTGCCTTCCCTATTTGTTTTTTTTGTAAGATAAAAAAGTGCAGCGCTTAAAAAATGAATCAGCAGTAATCAAGATATCGCACATAAAATTCATGATAAAAATATATAAAAGTTCAAAAGAATAACAGTCTATGTGGATATAAGGTGTTTGAAAAATTCAGTGATGGTGCTCCAAGAGATACGGTAAAAATTGCGCACTCACCAGATGCGTAATTAATATACGCATTAAGTATCACATCCGTGGTCTCCTTATCATGTAGAGGTCTGGTCAGGGGCATAGATAATCCTCCCTCAGGGTAATGGTTTTATATGCCCGGTAGAAGTTAAACAGATCCAGGTAACCAGAGGTCCCTTTAAGGGTGAAGTAGGTGAAGATGCCTGCTTACAGGGGACTCCCTTCTCTGGATACAGAAGGTAGATGGATGACTGGATCACAAAAAGCAGGCTCTGCAAATAAAATGCTCCTCAGGGGAGACGGGGAAGGGTGCTCATAGTGTAGTATTCAAAAAAAGTATTTATTTGGTAAAATGAGTGTTTGCAAACAACATAAGAGCAAATAAAAGCAATAAAACAGCGTCAGGTCTGCAGAGATAAACTAACCCTCCAGAGTCTAAGATGGCCTCCGGGCCTCACGACGTCCTGGCTCCTTCTAACGCGTTTCGTGCACATGCACTTCTTCAGAGGAAGATACCATTCTTGTAGTAGTATGTAGTTTTACCTGAGATCATCACTGTTTCACCTGACAAGGAATTTGTATATTTCTATCCATCCAGTAGTGGAAAATATACAGCTCTGCCACACAGCACAGACATAACCTGATTTTTCTCTTTCTGATTTTCTTGCTGCAGTTTGTGAAATATACAGATCTTGCCCA